TTTAATGTCATTTAATTATTTGCCGATAATTGCAATATTATAATTGCAAATAAGTTAAGCGAAATTTAATTAAAGAATGAGAATCACCGCTCTGGCTCCGACAGACTCGAATGGAGTAGTCCTCCATCCAAAATTATTAATTACTGTATATATATTAAAAATACACAATGGCCCAACGATTTAACAATTGTCGAACGTAAACTGTTCGAGAATTGTTAAATTGAATTTCAAAATTGTTTAACCAGCCAATTCTTCTTCACACAATATACGAGTTACGGCGCTTCGGCACACGTTCGGAAATTGCCGACTTTCTGGCAAAAACCGCCGAATTTCTTACAAAAACGCAGTTAATCGACTTCCGGACCGTCGTATATATATATACAGTATAAGATATTCTATAACAATAAAAAATTTTATATTTATACGGTATATTTACATAAACTGTACTGTTATATTTTATAAATTTATAACAACGGAATGTTTACACCAACTGGAAATTAATTGAGGATTTTATTTAATCTACCATAATTTATATATAATTATATAAGCGATTCTTACGTAAGTAGACGAACGGTTAAAGTTAACAAAAAAGAATGTTTAATACAGATTCGTACTCACTCATCCGAAACACAAAAATGCTATCTGGACTCGGTCGACTCGACAGCCTGCCATAAGGTTGCGCCTCGTAAATAGGATCTGACCTTTTTCTTATAATGTAGAAAAAGTAAAAGAGAGACTTAACGCGATTTCCATGAAATTTCTCACAAGACGGAATGAAGAGAAACACGCGACTGAATGGTGTATTAAGATTATCGTACGGTAGAGATTACTCGACTCGGAATTCCAAGTTCTTAATTACTCTAGAAGATTGGTTGCTCCGTCCTGGTCGTGCATGGCCAATGAGGAAAATTTCACCAAACTGGATAACCGAAAAAGGAACACGATAGAACTGATTGAAATTGGAGAAGAGATTTGGTATCTTTCCGGTAGAATTCGTCTAGTTGATAATCGAATTGGCTGGTGGATAAATGATATTTTCTAATTTTATTCGACGTAGCTGGCCGGTGAAGCGGATCGGCCCACCGGTGGTCGAAACTCAAAATTGAATTTATTCTCAAATAAACGTGATTAACGCGCAACCGGTTACGTATTACGTAAATATTTATACTCTACCAGTTAATTAATATTCAATAATCGAATGATTTCGGTTAAATTTTCCTTCGCTACAACAGATAGGATTATGTAAGTTGATATTGTTCTCGTAAACTGACGTACCGTATCGACATTGGAATGTTTTTTCTCGTCTTTACTTCCAGATGATTACCGATAACAAATTTTCCCTCTATTCCTTTACAACACGATTTATCCGGCGGTCGACGGTAGAACCGCATTTACTTACATCTCGTTTTATCCAAGATATTCCCGTTTCACCTTAAAATACTTCATAAACAATAAAATATCCCGGTAGTTTCTAAAATAATTCCTCAAACCCGTGTCTTTGATTAGTACGTATCTACGGCATCTTTGCTTAGATAGCAGTCGTTTGTACCGATTTTTAACCACATCCGAGGGGTATTTTTGAAGAATTTTTTTGTATAAATATAGACCCTGGTTAGAAATTTCGTAATAATTCACTCTGTTTGGTCACTCTTATCCTTCGACATTATTAAGATTGGGGAAAAAGAAATCCATTATTTTTTCACTAGATGGCTGTAGTAATACATATCTCATAAAATATTGATGACACAAGTTCAGACTTATGCTTATTGGAAAAGTAACATTCTGTACTAAAAAAATTCTTTTACAGTTTTTCGATTGGTCAATTCAGTTGTGAGTTATAGGGTGTAAAAGATGAAAGTTAACAAAGAGAAAATTAGGTATGTTTTACAATTTTGCTTCAATAAAGGCGAAAATGCAAGCCAGGCAGCTGAAATTGTGAATGGTGTTTATGGTCCTGATACTGTCACAGCCAATTATGTGCAATTTTGGGGTTTTGTCGGTTTCGTTCTGGTAATTTTGATGTTAAAGATGCACCTCGCACAGGTAGGCCCGTTGTCGAAAATGTTGATAAAATCGTGGAAATGATAGAAGTAAACCGGCACGTTAGCACTCGTAGCATTGCCCAGGAGCTAAAGATTGACCACAAAACAGTTTTAAACCATCTGCATAAAGCTGGATTCAAAAAGAAGCTTGATGTTTGGGTGCCACACGAATTAACAGAAAAAAACATGATGGATCAAATTTCCATCTGCGAAGCCTTGGCCAAACGGAACGAAATCGACCCATTTCTTAAACGGATGGTGACTGGGGATGAGAAATGGGTTACATATGGCAATATTGTGCGAAAACGATCGTNATTACAAAATTTCCTCGGTGATAAGAAATTGGCATCAAGAGAGGATCGTGAAAATCACTTAGTCAAGTTTTTCGCCAATAGGGACCAGGGCTTCTACGAGAGAGGAATTATGAAGTTACCTTTAAAATGGCAACAAATTATAAAACAAAACGGTGCATATTTGATCCAAGTCGAACAACCGAAACCATGTTAAATAAAAACTTGAAATGAACGTAAAAATAATGGATTTCTTTTTCCGCAACCTAAATATTATATTATTCTCTACAAGTATTATTCAGTGTTAATACATTAACCTGTATGAAAGTTTGGATTATTGTATATTGCAAATTGCAAAAGATGTACATTACAATATTATATGAATTTTTTTTCTTTTTATAATCTGTATTAAACTTATAACAGTGTTCTAATTACAGTTTTGTATGTCAGTTTTTTCCAATGTAGGTGACCATCTCACTTATTTGGCCTGAAATTGTACTCTAATGTTGACCAATTAAGTGAGATTTTACTGTATTTTATATTTAAACAATTATTTTAATGTTGCTATAATAAAGATTACTTTTAATATATCATATAATGATATTGGGATAGTTAATCATATATGATAAATGTTTTTTAGAAACATTCACTTGTAAAAATTAAAATTCAATAACAATAAAAGTGTGTTATAAGTTAAACATAAAATGATTACAAATTTCATGTAAATGTTTCATTACAATAATTATTGTATGTAAAAATACTCCTGTTTGAATAATTTAAATGAAATCACTATAAAATAATTTATTTCAATGGTGGTTGAATATATAATAGAATTTTAAAATATACATGTGAATAAATTGAATTAATTTAAAATTTTACTTATAAAATAATTGTAATAATTTATTAATTAGCCATCTTTGCTAAAATATTCATTATTATTAATCTATTTTAATATTTTCAATAGTGTTTTATGAATTCAATTCTTCAATGCTTGGCTCATACTGGTCCTTTATTAGATTATTGTCTGCCTAAAAATTATCTTGTTGACATTAATTATACAGCAAGTTCCATGAAAGGATCTGTTATTAAAGGTGAGTTAGATATTTACACATATTTGACAAAAAATTTATGCACCCAGATAGAATTGTCCCATTACTGCAAAACTTGACATAGCAATGTCTGAGATAGGTATGTAAATGTCGCCGGAGGGTCAACACCTCTTCGATGCCCTGTCAGGACTGACTCCACTGTGTCCCGATTGACACGGAAGCTGAGACGGCGTGTTGATTCAGTCACGCGAGCAGCCGCATGTGTGGGCGATTGGGCAGGATGGAGTGAGAGACAGCACACCGGAAGTGACTCGCGCAGAGATTAGGATAACGAAACAACCTAGTTTAATTAGGAAAAAATTTAAACAAAAATACATGGATCCCGGAGTCTGACTGATAAGAGTGATATACAATTATATACATGCCTTAGCGGCTGCTGAGAGAGAGACAGAGAGTTTACAAATATGCGCATGGTGCTAGATACCTTTCATAATAGTGAGTTTTTTGTAGAATGGAGCAACCTCATTGACCGGAGTTGGAAAGTTTGGTGAGGACTCGACAAGATAGTCCTATTAGGTGTTCGGTGGTTATGTTAATCCAAGGATGACACTCACTAATTCTGTTGGTGATCAGGAAAGTTCACTAAGGTAAATGAGAAGGAGAAAGAGCCAGAGGTGATGTGTATAGTAAAACTGGATGATGACTGACCAACTTTTTCGGTTTCTTGTTATATTCAACTGATGAACTTGAGACAATAGGTCAGGAGGTTATGAGAAAGCGTGACTTAGTTACTGAGAACTTAACAAACCAGTAACTCCCAGGTGCAAGAGTTGACAGTTATCCAACAAGATGGTATAGTTAGAAGGTTATGTTATATCAACTTATATGTAGTGCTGAGTTATTGACAATAACAGTTTATTGACAGATCCTTTTTATATCTTATGACTATCTTATAATTTAGGTCCTAATCACAAGAGAGAGAGGGAGAGTTCACAATTGATTGTGAGTAGGTATTTATCTTGTCAACAGGAAGAGGGTGTCTTTGGGAAAAGTCTTCTAGTGTCGGTACTTATTTTGAAAACATCAATAGAAGGGAAAATGGCAATTATTATAGTTCAGACTGTGAGTAAGACTATGAAGAGTTTGATCGGACAAGGTGCTTAATAGACAGTTGGATCATGACAATTGAACAGGACTATTAGCTTGAATTAGATTACAATCCACAGGAACTAGACATCTGACTTGGATGGTTCCCAGAAACTGGACAACCTGTATGATTTTTTGGTGGACCTTTTATAATTTTTGTTTGTTTCCTGAGAAATAACGTTCCAAAAATGGTAATATTGAATGGAGCTTTATTTTTTATTTTTTGTCCAATCAGATTTTTTTTCTTGCTTCTGGGGATGAGTAACTATCTCAGGAAAAAGTGTTGTTAGAAAGGAAATGTTATCTAGTTACTTCCTTGTCAGTTTTCTCCTAAAAGTCTTGCCTTTGTTAGCTTTAATTTAATACATTAGAAAATTATTTTATTAATTTTAAGGATTCATAGCCCAGGATCTCTCACAAAGTACTAGAGATTCCTTTTAAATTATATTGTTGTTTCAAAAGAAATTATGCCCTTGCTATTCACTTTTTATCATTGCCATTACATTGCACTAATAAAGTTTCATATGATTCCAATGACTTCTTGGTGCATAACTTTTTTGTCAATGAATGTTTTAAAACTATGATTAGAATTACCATGAATATTTATTTTATGTAAATATTTTACATGTGTGCACATTATATATGCATTTATACATTTACAGACATAAAATGTTTTTTGTATATTTGTATTTGTGTGCATATTCAAGTAATTTAAAAGTTTGTTAAGTAAATAAGTTGATAAATACTGAAGTATATCTTAATATCCATTAATCTGCTTAATTTATTTTTGTTTTGAAACAGTTTATTATTTTAAAATATTTATAGAGTATAATCTCTGTAACCTGGCCATTTGCTAGTTCACCACGTCCAACAACAACTCTGTGGTATTATCAGCACTGTTGCCAAGCCATAGACATGTGTCCCACTAGTTCAGTTTCCATTAAATTTGAACATTTCCTCATGATATTGAACTTGAGCTTCATCACTTGAGCTTGGACAATATTAAAGATTGTTAGGTTTATCATGTTAGACTGCTGAAATAAGTACAATAACTTACTACTGTGATCAAAAAGTATTGGGAATGGCTCATTTAAACTGCATGCCTGCAAGAAGGTGCTGCTGCTGCTTGGTACAACTTTCATTAGCATCTAGCAACAATCTCTGTCATCATTTGTTTTCATTTTGAATAAATGCTTTTTTTTCTTTTTGTAAAGAATTTTTGTGTTGGCAATTTTTCAAAATATCTAATGTAATCATGCAAAGAAAGTTCATTAAAGTTTGTTTTCATAATGGAATTACTGCTATAAAAAAATGTCGGAAATGTTACAAAAAGCTTTTGGTGTGAATAGTCTAACAAAGACAACAGTTTTAGTGGTACAGTACAAGATATTCAAGGAAGGCAGAGAATGTATTGAAGACAAACCATGCTCTGATAGACCACTCACTTCAGCTGATGAACAACATGTCATTCAGGTCATTTGGGACATCATTGAACATGTTCCAGTATCATTTGGATCTTGTCAAGCAATTTTAAAAGATTGTGGCATATCACTTCTCAAGTTGTTCCAAAAATAGCATTGTGTTCAAGTGGTCAAGGAAATGTTTTCTTGAGGCAAATCATTTTTAAAATGCATCATTATGCATGATGAAACATGGGTCTTCGCTTTTGATACCAAAACAGCTCAACAATCAAGTGAATGGCACTCAAAAGGTAAAGAAAGACTAAAAAGACCACATCAAAGTCAATCAAAAATCAAGATCATGTTGACTATTTCCTATAATAATTGTGTTGTTGTGTATCATGAATTCCTTGTGACTGGCCAAACTATCAACAAAGAATATTTAAGTGTTTTGTGTTGATTATGTGAAGAAATTTGTAGAAAACCAACCTGATTTGTGGTGAGAAAATTTATGGATTTTGCACCATGATAATGGACTTGCTCATCAGCTCTTGCTGTTCATAAATTTTATACAAATATTGTTCCACAAGCTCCATATTCATCTGATATGATACTGTGTGACTTCTTGTTTCCTCAAGTAAATTTTTGCTTCTTAGTCATTTTGAGTTGATTTATGCCATAAAACAAAATTTGCTATGAGTCCTGAAGGAGTTTCACAAAAACGATTTTAAACCATGTTTTGAGGATTGGAAAAAACATTGGCGTAGGTGCATTGCAGTGTGGAGGGAATTACTTTGAAGGGGTCGAAATAAATTCAAATCTTGCATTTTATTGAACCATTCCCAATATTTTTTGATTACAGGAGTATAACACAATACTATATAAATATAAAAATCAGTCCCCAAAATTTCCTACCAACTCTTGCTAAATTTCCCACTAAATTTAGTGGTAATCAACCAACTTGGCAACATGATTACTGTTGATTGGAAGTCCACTTAATACAATATACTAATATCATTCACTATACAAATATTTACTTTCTGAATGATTAACATCTTTTACTCTGGTCTAAAATTGATGCATATTATCAGATCCTGAGGAGTAGTCATGAGTGATGAAATCCTGAGGGGTTCCAAGACAATAATTGGGATACAAATGGATATATTTGCTTCCAAAAAGCTTTATTTTATGCAATTATTTCCTATTTTTATCTAAGAAGTAGTGAATAAAGTAGAAAGTAATTGCAGTATTAATTAGCTACACCTATTATTTTCATAAGTAAACAATTTATTATTCTCAAAAGTTTTCTTCTGTATGGTACAGTTGGAAACATTGGTTCAAGGTCTAATATTGCATTCAACACAATAGTATGTTGTATTTTTCGTGATATTTTTCTTAATGCAGACTTTGTAGTGGTGTTGAACAGTAGGTTGAGCCAGAATCCTCTCAATGAAATGACATTCTACTAATTTTTCTGGCTGCTGCTGAAGGGTAAGCAGAAGGAATTTTTGGTGTCTCTTGAATAACTTCTTTCACCAGACCAAGAGAATCTTCTAAAAAATTAGTCATAATCTTGCAACCAGAAAGATTTTCATAAATAATTCTTGAATTATGAAGTGCCAAATTGAGTAAATAAAAGAAGAGCTTGTGCCACCATTTTACTATTTACTGCTGTAAGCTGCAGTAGGACAGTACTTGATCTGCCTTGTTGACACTTGTCTTATACTAGTATATTCCAAGACAGATGATGGCTTCATTTTTTCTTGTTAGCCCGTGTTTTGACTATCTCATTGTGATGTCCAGTAGACAAATTGCACACATCATGACATCATGCACATCTTTCCATTTTATAGCCAATGTGGCACCTTTTCTTTTGGCTATTCATTTTCCCTTCATCAGTTCAGATGCAAAAGCAACCATTTGGAAGATCACATCAGTTGAATGTCACTGTACCCTGGTTGCTACTGTTTGCCAGTGCCAAAGCAATTCGAATAATTGGGGACTGGAGAACCAGCTGTGTATGAATATGCAGTGTCTATGGTTCTTATATGGTTCACAAAGATGCATCACCAACAGATTAGCTTTGTCTCTCATGAATTTCTTTCCTGGAAAATAGTCTGAAATTTGGTTTTCACTATTTGGAAACTGTGTTCTCCACTATTACACAAACTTTGTGGAGAGGACTGAAGTCCTGATTTCCTCTCAGTATTGTAGTTTCATTGTCAGTAACATGAAAGAATGACAATATAAAAGAAAATCGATCTCTTGACATTTGTACATAGTTGATAAAAGAAGATTGGTGGAACACACTTGTACTTCAATAATCTCAAAATTTTGATTTAGATGAAATGGTTACATAAAGTATGATTCCAAAAAATATCTTTAGGTCATCAGCAATCACAAGTTTTCAAGTCACATGATTGGAATGTTACGACAGATTACCTGCCCTTTTTTTCAGCCTCTCTTGCTGTTGGTATCTGTTTCCTGAACAATAGTGTTCAAAAGATCTTCATCAAGAGATATCCTGGAAACTTTTACAGGGGGTTATCTCCTCTGGAATAACATTGTTATGAATTCCACAAACACTAGTGTAAGGTGGCAGCTGTTGTTTATGCTCCAAGTTTGTTTCATGTGTTGAGACTGGAAGTATGTATTGGTTAGATGTAGAGTTATGTCAGTACCAATATCAATCCAATGCTGTTATATCAGCATATCAGAATGTTTCCAATCCCAAACTGATGCTCTGATTTTTTTCAATACACATTCTTAGACACCCACGATTGCTGTAAATAATTGAGCTATAATTTGGAATTTTCTAAATTATAGTCCAATTATTTACAGCAATTGTGGGTGTCTATTTACTTAGCATCAGGTTTCAGTAGATGTTTTGTATACACATTTCTTCACATTGTTTTAAAATGGCAGGCATTCAAACATTGCAGTGAGCATACTATGCTGTAAAACTAATTCATGATAGACAAAGTATCCTATCCATATGTGATTCACCACCTATTGCCACATGAAGTATGACTGTTGTTGCTTTTTGTCAGCAGCAACTTGGTGGGAGTGCTGCTTTGTGGACAGCAGGACATGATTTTGTGATGGACATTTAATCTATGTACAGTGTTGCCAGGTCTGGCAATATCTCAAGCCAGTTGGTGATTTGGCAACTATTTTTTTCAATCTGATGATTTTTCTAAACTATTGTAAATCTATTCAATGTGTGTTTGAATTTTTTCTTAAAAATAGGGCTAGAATAAAGCCACCCTAGTCTGAAGGGACCCCATGAATCAATTTGTAAATATTTATTTCTTTATGTTTGAATTTAAATGATTAGTGAACAAAGTGAATGTTTTCTAAATCAATGAGCTTTCAGGCTTTCACTTATCACCAATACCAGTAGAGTATGGACAGAAGCAAATATTGGATCAGATCGTATTGGTAAATTTAGTTTTGTATCATTTCTAGTAAAATATTTTTTTCTAGTCTCATTGGTATATCTTGTTTGAAAATATCCTTCAGTTTATCATAGAATATCCAGCTTAAGTGAATTTTCTTCAGAAGATATACAAAAGAAAAATTTAAATTTATGATGTGGCCTTGCAATAATCTCACTATAATTTGTGTTTTATTCTTCATAATGATATATGAGTTACTTAGAATATTTTTGTCTGAATTTATTTTTTAACTTATAATATTTCATTCAATTAATTTATTTTTTCTTGTAAATTGTCCAAATTTATTCTATCAAAACAATTTTATATACCTAAACCAAAATTTTTTTTTTATTAAAAATAAAATATTATTGAATACACTTTTTTCTCTGAAGATAGATTTCATTTTATGTAATTATTTTTGAATGTAAACTTCATTAAAGAAACTAAAATAATTAGTTTTCTAGTCAACAAACTTGTTTAATAACAATGAAAAAACTTATTAGTATCTATATTAGATATTTCAAAAATGTTATTGATATGAAATTTTTATTATAACAATTTTTAAATAGCTTTTGCAAATCTTGTACAACATATGTGGAAAAATGATGAACCAGTAAGTCCTCAAGAATTGAAAGGACAAATACAAAAGTTTTCTCCTCGTTTTACAGGACATAAGTAAGTAATCATTAAATAAGACATAAATCTCATGTATAAACCTGTTTTATTATTTTTAAATTTAAAAATTTTTAATTAATGCTTGATATAGTGATGATGATATAACCTTTTAGTTTTCAAAATCAAATGTTGTTAATATCTAAAAGTTTAATACTAACAAATTATCTTAAAAATTATATTAAATGAATTGCATCATAATTTTTCAAATTACTGTTATCAGTTTATGAAAAACAAAATTTTATCTTACTAATTTAGTAATTATTTGAATTTGAATATTTTTTTTGCATATTTATTAATGCAAATTTATTGCAAAAAACAAGAATTTCAGAAGAACCAGGACCTTCATCATGAAAAATGAACTTTACATTTCTGTGTGCATACGTTTGTGTTATTTAACATATGTTATTATGCAAATTAATATAAATAAACTTAAAATTAAAGTAAAATCTGTTTATTTTTGGTCATGTGTCCCCTTTCCCTATTTACTCTGTGTTAAAATAACTTTGTTTAATGCTGTTTCATTTAGCACTTTGTTGTCAAGGAACATATCCTGCGTATTAAGCAGGGTCTTACTATACTTTAAATATGCCATTAGGTAATCAGTTTTGCAATGAATAAGGAAGATAAAAATTCTTATGTATATCTTAGGATGATTTTTTTACTTTGTATCAGTGTTGATTTTAATTTTTAAAAAAATTATGATTGCAATTGCATTGTGTTGTTGAAATAATTAAAAAGCCCTTTGATTTAGTGAATAACATCTATTAAGATTGTAATGAAGTAGATGGTAGCTTGTTCATAAGCTAGATAAAAAATACAATCTAAGATTGTGTTCTTTGTTTATCTAAACAGTGTTTGCTTTTACACTGATAAAATTAATATGAATTAGGGATAATATTAATAGTGTGATGAATACATGAATATTTGTTGTTTAATATTGATTTTGTATTATGTATAGTTTTAAAAAATACTTCAATAATTCATATTTGTATATTTTTTATTTCTCGATTAGTAAGTTTGTGAATTTAATATATTTTTAATAGTCAAACCTATTATTAAGTATGTTGACATTGACTTTATTGTGTAACAAAATGTAATGAATTTAAATGTGCTAAGAAACTTTTTTAGGTTTTTTATACACAGTTATTAAGCATTTTAAACATGCATATTCATTATAATTCAGTTATTCTGTTCTAATTTCAGCCAGCATGATGCACAAGAATTTTTGCATTTTCTGCTTGAAGGATTACACAATGATGTTAATCGTGTTAAGAACAAACCAACTCCATTGGAAATAAATATTGATGAAAAACTAAAGTAAAAGTTTTTGCATGATTTTATATATTTATTAAT